AGCAATGCCGGCTGGGGCTAGCGCAGGGGTGACTGAGTGGGCCTCAGTGGGTTAACCTTTGAGCCAGGTCTCCAGGGCCTTCTGGACAGGGAAGACCCAGAGGCGTCCAGGGATAAGCAGCTGGGCCACATGCATGGTTGGGTTTGGGTGCAAGGAAGGGGACCCCAGAAACAGACGCTGCTTGCCCAAAACAAAGTTACCTTGGTTCTCCTGGGCTTGCACGCGGAAACCAAGTTCCACCCTGGTGCCTTGCTCCTCAGAGTGGAGGTGCACGTGTGCCATGTACTCAGAGACCGTGTGTCCCTCTCTGCGTGTAGTGACCGGCCAGCTGTCCGGCCAAGCAGAGCGCCGGTGTGGGAAGAGTCGGATGTAAAGCACTGCAGCTCAGTGCTAGAGCATTTGCCCAGCATGCTGGGCCACGGGTTCAAATCCCAAGGCTGAAAAGACAGAAAATCCCTAGCCTTATGATTTCTGTGCAGTAGCTTGTGTCTGGAAGGGCAGGGTTATAGGGAGGCTTGTATGAGCTCTGCCTGTTTTTGGGAGGTCACTGAGAGGAGCTGTAGTCCAGCCAGGGCAGTGTCACCTCTGCTTGTCTCAGGGGCCACCTGGAATGTGTCAAACTTGGGGGTGTTATGGTTGTGTTTTCCAGACAGCGCTCAAATTCCTTAGGGGCCCCTGCAAACAGCTGGCAGCTGGCAGGGTCCGCGTTCCGAAGGAGAGTTTCCTGAAATGCAGTGGTTTAGGTCAGTTCCCGGCTGTCCTTTATGTGTCTGCACTGTCATACACAGGTGGGCATGTATCGATCTCATACCTTCATCAATGAGTCCATTATCCAGGGGTGTCAGGTTCGTATGACAGGTTTTTAATGTAGTTAACCCCGGCCGCATGTTAGAACTGGCTGGGGATTTAAGAGGACCCAGGCCAGACAGCTGGGTGGAGCCCGAACTTAATTATTTAATTTTTTTCAGCTCCCGGTGAAAGCTAGGAGGATATCCTGTATTAAACCTGGCGTGGTGGTAAATGCCTGTTATCCCAGCTCTTGGGAGGCTGAGGCAGGTATATGCAGAGTGAAAGCCAGCCGGGGCTATAGAGTGAGACCTTGTCTCCTAAAACAAAAACATACAAAGATTTTGAAAGTAGATAATCAGATATACCCATGGATTGGATGATCACCTAAATTGCAAACTGTGTATGTTTTATGGATTTAATGTGATATTATTTACTGTATAATAAAGTAGCTAGCAGTTATGAGTAAACATGTCTGCGATAATTCCCATGAATTGAAAACTTAAAGGTAAGATAAGAGAGGATAATGTAGGATGTGTGTGTGTGTGTGTGTGTGTATGTGCGTGTACAGAGATTTTCCATAGAGCAGCAGGGAAGACCCGTACTTTATAACCTGTTATCAACATATTTTAAAGAATAAACAGAACTATTCAATTAATGATAGAGAAATAATTATTAGTTATCTTAGAAAATTTAGGTTTAATTAGAACCTTTTTTGCATGCCAAATAAAAACATTAATTACTGGTGAATTCTCTTTTCTTTTTGAGACAGAATTTCACTATGTAGTTTGGGCTGGCTTTGAACTCACTTTGTAGCCCAGCTGGCCTCAGCTTCTTGAGTGCTGCAATTACAGGCATGCACCACCATGTCCAGCTGCTGGTGAATTTTTAAAAAGTAAATTTCAAAAGAACATAGTCATAAAATGAAGAAAATACATAGAAACATGTTTTTACCCCTGGAGGAAATAAATGGTCTATATTTAAAAGTTATCGAAAAAAATCACAAAGGAAAAGAGTGTTTTGATGCAGCAGTATTAACATTCTAAAAGAAGAATTTGGAGTAAAGGAACCAAGTTCAACAGACATCTGAGAGCCGGGCAAAGGGTATAAAGCAGTGGTTCATAAATATAAAAATAAAATGCTTACTATTTCCTGATGAATATTTGCTTCTTTTATAACCAAAAGAAATGGGACTTCAAAAATAGGGAGACCCTGTTTTTCCATCCTGACCGCCTGGGTAGGTACTAAAACTGAGAATGCTCAGCACTGGGGTGGTGGGCGGAAACTTTCGCACAGTGGAGGCAGGAAATAGGGGTCCTGGCTCCATTTCTGCAATGTGGTTTTGGGGTGCGCGTTCACCATAGGTGTGGGGTATCCACCCATTTACTCGCCTGCCAGGAGTAGTGTCAAGAAAATGGTAAGAAATGCAGGTGATGAGGACCTTTCAGTGGTGTTTATTATCCCATCAGCTCTGGGTATTCTTGTCGCCTGCGGGTGGGGAATTAAGAACAGAGGGGTTCGGTGACTCCCCAATGGTGAGGCAGCTGGTGGAAGAGAGGCTGGAGCTTGTACTCAGTCGGGCTGAGCCCACTCCTCACACAGCGACACGGCCTGGGGTTATTTCATGATAGGGACCCTCTTGGTGGTGGCCCTCCATTCATGGGGGAGTGGTGGGCAGTGGTTACAGGGGTTTGGAAGACAAAGCTCAAGGCATAAAATCAATTGAGCAGGGTTTAAATATTCAGAAACATACAGAACAAGGCAGCAAAATGTGTCGGGATTATTTTCTTCTTTTGGTCTTGTGTTGCAAACATCCTACCTTGGGAATGGATTGCTTTACAAATCAGGACAAAGATTCAAAAAGAAGAAAGAAGAGCAAAACATGAAAGTTACAGAAAAACAAAAAACAAACACCACTCCCCAACAGGACACTAACCCCCCTAAAATTCTTACAAGCAAGAAATGTCATGTTTCTATTCTCATATGTTTATTTCATTATTAATGCTAGGCTATAGTTGAGTTCTGTACTCCTGAAATGTCTCAGAATAACTTTTCTTTCTGGGAATAGACTCATTCTATAGTCCAGTATCAATCTCTTAATTTCAACTTCACGAGTGGACCAGCAGTGTCCCGTGTGCATCTCTATGTCCAGAGGGCTCGGGGGCCATCAGCTGGACATGAACCGGAGGAGCTGACCTGTTTCTCCTGGAGACTCCAGACTCCTGGATCCTGAATCATCTCCAAATCATTCCCTGGGTTGGCCTTAGGAAACATTTAAAAAATTGATAGCCTCAATAGGGCTTCGTCTGCCTTTCGCAGAGAAATGACATACAGGAAAGAACACTGTGCCTTCGGCCCGAGATAACAGGGCAGACAGAGCTGGTGATAAAAGCCTCGTGAGTGGGAGACCTGAGCTTTCTAACTGTAGAGCTGCCAGTGAGCAGCTGGGACTTTCCGCTGCCATCTCTTGGAAATTCCACCAGATATTTGGTGATGTTACTCACAAAGATTGGTGGAAATCACTTGGCAGCTTCACTGTTCGACTTTCGCCACAACCAGGGTATGGACATCCTCTCCCCCTCTCAGGACGGGAGGGGAATGGTCATGGGCCGGGAATTGTCACCGTGTACCCCGCAGTCCCCGTAAGCAGCAGTTGGTGCACTGAGGCCTCCTTGTTTGCTGGTTTTTGTGTTAGGCGGGGTGGGATCCAGGGCCTGGGCATGCTGGGTGGAGCTCTCTTACCCCAGCCCTGAGCTGCTGGCTTCCCTCTGCTTTGGTGATGAGCAGACTGCCCGTTGATGCCTGTGACCCCCAGTGTCCCGGAGACTCCTGTGACCCCGGTGTTCCTGAGAGATGAGTCCTTTAAATGCACTCTTTCCCTCCACTGGGAGTTGGAGGGCAAGGTGCAGGTGGCGAGGTTTTCAGGAAGCAAGGACCGGATTCTATACGGACTGCTCAGAATTAGTAAGGGCTCTGCTGGGGAAGATGCTGCCTGCATCCTTTGGTCCCAACCTGTGAATCAAGGTGAAGACCCGCGGCCCTGAGAGTCAAAATTCAAGGACGATGGTGGTTCAAATGAGTGCCGCTCAGTGTAAAGGGCAGTTCAGTGTATAAGGCACTGCAGTTTGATCTCGATTTCCTGAGATCAACATGGAAGGTTGTGCGGCTACAGATAGGCCCTGCAAGCACGTACACCCGTTTTCCAGGCATAGGTGCCAGTGGGTTCTACCTGTGTCTAGGGGCTCAGGCTGGACCTCAGAGAGGCCGAGAGACTGGGTCCTGAGACTGGGGTAACTGAGGTTCTGAAGAAAGAATGTGGATTTTAGAAAATTCAGCCCACGAAGCTAGATCTAACTGCAAATTCTGATAGTGAGCTTTAAGTGTCCCCCTGCAAAGGCCTAGAGAGGCATGTATAGGACACAGTGGGACCTGTAGGACTTGGCCATATGGAATCTTGGTCCTTGGGCCTGGTCCCTGGGAGTGGAGCCTGTCATCACATGCATGACCATTAGCAGATGAGTGGATCAAGAAAATGCGGTATTTGCACAGTGGAGTACTACACTGCCATAAAGAAGGATGAACTTGGGCCATTGTAGGAGCATGGGTACAATTAGATTCCATAGTGCTGAGTGACAGAAATCAGACACAAACTTGAATATCACATGGTTCCTCTCACCTGAAAAAAAAAGATGGACAAATAAGTTAAAGAGTAACAAAATAAACATCATAGCAGACAGAGATTCAGACTTCTGCAGATGGGAAGACCTACAGACGGAGGGAGAGGGAGAGAGGAGGGGAGTGGAAAGGGAAACTGCACTCTGATACGCAGAAAATCTCTGGGAAATGCTGGGCTTGACTTCGCCCTTGTGAGCAGGATCTCAGGTGCAGAAAGTTGCACATTTGGATATTTCTTCTGGAAGCTAAAACTCTTCACCATGAGATTTTGTTAATTCTGTATTATTGAAAGTTCTGAGAACTTGGGGACATTTTAAGGGATATGAAAATCTTTCTGGGCTGCTTTTTAGAAGTTCGGGTGTTAGAAAGTTTTTGCTTAACCTCCCATTTGAGACGAGTGTATTTTTGTTTGAAGGCCTTGGCTTACTCTGTCTCACTGTTTTCCAGAGGAACCATTTGCAGTGGGATCCTAAGCATGCCCCGTGGAGAACTACTCCTAACACTTTGGGTTCTTTTAGTTGAAAGCACTTCGGGTAAGTGATTATTATGATTTGCAAATGTTCATCTTTACCAGTTCAGAGTGTTTGCAGATGGTGTGGAGGTGGCTGCTGGAGACACTGAATTTATTCAAATTTTCTGATCTAAAATTTTACTTTATAAATTTGGTGTCTATTTGGTATCCAGAGCATTGAGAATGAAAGAGTCATAGGAACAGGATCCAGTAAAGAAAATGCATAAAGTATCACTGGAAAAGACAAGAGCTAGCCCTGTGGGTTTAAGCCGAGAGAGAACTTTTATTTCCTTTAGAAGAAGATGTGCTTCCTGAAACAGCCTTTCTTACTGGTTTTTGGAAAGTTTTACACATGTTCTCTGCTTCTTGAGGGGCAGGCAAAGATCCATCGGATTCTTCGGTGAAAAGAGCGAAAGCATAGATCATTAATATTAAGAAGACTGCGAAGCCTGTGTGAGAGATTGAGACTGCTAAGGCAAGTGAGCTGCGAAGCCCCTGGCAAACACAGCGGTACCTGGTTCATGAACTTAATTCTTCCCACAGTGTTGGTCATGGACCGAATCAGATTTCCCCATCAGGTTCTATGTCACTTCTTGCTGAGAGGAACAGGTTCTCGGCTCTTACAGCCACTTGTAAAAAAGAGCAGTAGCCCAGATCCACACGCCCTGATCCCCGCTCTTCTGTGTGAACAGAGTCTGCTCCTAACAAGGTCCATGCTGACAGGCAAAGCCAAGACATTTCCTGCTCTACACATACTCCTAAAATCTATGAATTTCACAGTAGATATCTCCAAATTCTAACTTCTCCAAAGAGGGATGAGTGTGTATGTCCATCAGAACAAAGACTTCGTGCTTGGAGAAGTATATCTGAATTTTGGCAAAACCTGGAAACCTAGAAATAACCCAAATGTCCAAAAGACGCTTGTTCTATAACCCAGATGTCCAGTATTTATCCAGTTCTAGAATGAATGGACAATGAAATGGTAGCACAGCAGGGTACCCTGTGCCAGAGGAAAGGGCACATCACAGCTGCCTGTCTTAGAAGCTGCACAAACTTCAAGCACAGACGAGCTCATGGTACAAAGTTTATGTGCTTTATTACATGCGCATCTCTAAAAGGAAAATAAATGAAACATCACTAATTCACTGGAGTTCTGAGTGTCAGTTAAAACCAACACCCACATGCACACAGGGATTTTACCTCTGTGTGGAAGGACTGATGTATGGGATAGAGATTATGTATCAACCGTAGGCTGTGAAGTTGATGCCCACTGAGACTTACCTGTCACTTTTGCCTCACACTCTGTCTCTGAGTGCTTCTTCCTCTTTTGGCTGATTGACAATGCTGAGTGAAAACCAGACTGTTGCTTGGAGAGATAAACGCCAGCTATAGAGAGGGCTTCCCTTCTCCATGTCCTTATAGGTGCTTCCTTAACTTCAAAGATTTTCCTTCCCCCCGAGCAGCAGAGGATGGAGTCTGGGGGGCTTCCCGACACTACCTGAGACTCTTGGAGGTCGAGTACAAGGGCATGAGGACCTCCTGTGCATGCAGAGCTCAGATGCATTCTCAAAGCAAGAGGATAGGATGGATTAAGAAAGAATGGAGAGAAGAGAAAGAGTTCTCAGAGAGGGGAAGGACAGATCTCTGGATTGAGGGTTGGCTGTGCTAACAGATTCCTGATTATCTTCCTGGTCACCTTTGGCAGTGACAGTCTTTGTGGGAGCCCTTGTGCAGCTCCTTCATCTGACCTGGAACCGGGCAGCTGGTGTGGCTTGGCCCAGGGTAGGTGGGTGAGGCAGCTGGGGATACAAAAAGGAACCCTCCCAACCCCTTCTCTTTTATAGTGTCTTGGTCACTATTTTCTCCAAAATAGCAGATGCCCAGTATTAGGGAATGGAAGGTTTATTTCTTACAATTTTGAAGGTTTCAGTCCACACTCAGTTGACTCCAAAGCAGGGTGGCATGGCAGAGCCGCCATTGTTGGGAACTTGCTGTGGCCTCCATCACCATTCTGGAGCATGGTTCTCTGTGGCTTTCTCCTCTGACAAAGTCTTTCACTTTTGCAGTTTTGAGGCTGCAAAGAGTAGAGATCCGCTGCTTCCTGGGATGCCCCCAGGCCATCTTTTTATTTCTCTGTTCCTTCTCAGCAATCAGAGTCTCAGCTCTATCTGTATAGTCCGTAGATTTCTTGTCAAACCCACAACATTTTGAATCACCCTGCTGGGCTCTTTGATCTTGATTTGCAACATAAATTGGACTAAAATCCCCCAACAATAACCATGTCCCACTTTGGAATTCCACTGCCTTGAAATTTCTTCTGCCAGATTAGTTAGTCCATTGCCCTTAATCTCAGTATCAGGCACAGTTTCTGGACATGAGCAAAATGCAGGCAAACTTTTGCCAAGCCATAACGCACATCCTGTGGAGTCCAACAAGCAGTGCAGTCCTTCTTTCCAGAAGAAACCTCCTGATCCTGGTCTCTCCCAGCAGGCTTTCTATCAGTCTTCTGGTCTCCTGAACTCTGACCAGTGCTGTGCATGCAGAGCTCAGATGCATTCTCAAAGCAAGAGGATAGGATGGATTGAGAAAGAATGGAGAGAAGAGAAAGAGATCTCAGAGAGCCTCTGACCAGCCTCCCCTACAGAACAGCTTAAGCTGTTCAAGGGATGCTCTTCAAGGTGACATCTCCAAACTTTCCAAACACTTCCCACAAGCCATTCCCAAAGTCTCTTGAACCACATGGTCAGGTATAATCACAGCAGTGATCCCATTCCTGGTACCAAATTCTGTCTAGGTTGTTTCTTGTTGAGACAAAATACTTGATGGCCAAAATTGGGGAAAGACCGGTTTATCTCTTACAATTGTGGGTGGTTCAGTCCATACTCAGCTGGCCCCAAGGCAGGGTGGCATGGCAGGGCCACCTTTCAGAGCCACCACAAAACAGTAATACTGAGCCACACAAAATAGAAAAGACTTTTTTCCCACGTTGACACTGTGTGCTGGCTGTACCCCTGGGTGGGTGCAGCCCTCACACCTCTAATCCCAGTGCTAGACAATGAACCAGTCACGAACACTAGATTCAGCTGCATTCATGATTGCATGAGGCTGGAGGGGAGGGGAGGGCGCATCTGAACACAAACCATAACATATGGGGACTCCTCTGCAGAAGATGTTTGGGGCAACATAGGACCTGTGGCTTTCCTTTCCAAGAATCTGTAATGTGTAGTATTTTATTTTCCAGGATGACACTAGTCATGTCTGTCTCTCAGATATGGTGTGTTGTATTTTTATGTCTTGCATGTTTAGGAGAATGATCCAATTTGTCCTCATCTGTACCTTGCTTAATCTTACTTACCCTTCCTACCACTGGAAAAACTAAATGCTGTGGTGCTGAGATTTCTCAGAACTTTCTTGCTATCCTTGCTTCTTCCCTTAATGCATCAGGAGAGAATGCATTTCCTTTATCATTTGTTTTGGTTTTTCTTTCCCTCTGCTAATCTTTAGGGGAAGATTGTATTTCCCGGCCCCGCATTAGCGTGGTAGAAGGGGAACCTTTTTACCTCAAATGCTGCTCATCTTCATCAGCTCCAGAGAATGAAGCAGCCACCCTGAAATGGTACAGAAGCACCCCACCCCACCAGCGGACTGAGCTACACCCGGGCCCCACAGCCCGGATCACACTGCATAAGGATATGTTGGAGTTTTGGCCAGTGAAGTTAGAGGACCAGGGATCCTACTTTTGCCAGCTGGGGTGAGTGTACCTTTTATGTCACCATATTTCTTGGGACTCTTGGCTTTCACTCAACAGCTCAAATATATGGAATCAGTTTTAAAGCTCAGCTACTCCTGAGACATAGACGCTCTGGTCAAGGAAGTCAGTGCCTAGAGCTCATGATGCTGTTATGTAGAGACAGAGGGTGGCAGGCAGCCTCCTGGGATGAAATGGGACTGACAGAGACACACACTGGTGTGGTCTGCAAGGTCCCTTGGAGCCTGGCAGCAGAATCACTGGGGGTGTGTTCAGTGGCCATCTCCCAGGCCACTGGGAGAGACAGCCAGGATGCACTGCATTGTCTACTGTGCCAACCCCCTGGATGGGGCCAGACTCAGAATTGAGGCCCTGCTGCACAGGGGAGGAGGAACTTGGCTGTCACTATAGAAATCTGCTTATACACGTGTGAGTGTGTGTGTGCACATGGACACACACATGTGTGCACTTTTGTAAGGCTGGCTGGGTGGTCTTGCTGTGAACTGAGATTCCTCTCAGAAAGCTCACTCTTCCCTCTAGAGAGAGTCCTGATCATTATCAACCCCGTGTTTGAGAGCAGAGAGAGAGAATGTTCACAGTGAAACCTCGGTGTAACTTCTGTGGTTCTGGCCAAAAGAGGTCATGGTTTTTTGTTTTTATGCATAGAAACTCCCAAGAGTCAGAGAGAAATGACAAACTCTTTGAAGAACTGACACATTTTATGTGACCTCTTAACACTGATAGTGATAGAGATGGGTCACAACTAGATGTTTTCATAGCCAGACGAAGACTGTACCAGGAAAAGGATAACAATCACCACCCCTTTCTGAAGCCTGACTGAATGAAGGCACCCAGGGCTCTGGTGGAGCAGAAGTGGACAGAGGCATGGAGCCAGCCACCTGCTGCCCCTCCTGCCAGTGAAAGGGGCAGGGGACATTTGCGCCATTCTGAGGGGAGCTGGAGAGTGCTGCAGGGAGCAAATCGGGGTCACTGGGGAGACAGGAAAGAGAGGAGTCCAGAAATGTCCCAGAACAGTGGGCAGGGGAGGGTAGGAGAGGGTAGTGTCACCATGTGGCTTTGGTGACCAAAGCACAAGGTTGTGGGGATGGGGTCAGGGTGGAGCCGCTGTGACATGGCTCTGACAGTGAAGGGTTCTACATAGAACCGAATGCCGTGAGACCAGAGCACAGTGGACAGAGATCTTCAGACAGAGCAGCATAAGCGTGTGTGCTTGTGCATGTATGCATGCATGGATATGCATGTGTGTGCACCGGCTCTTTGGTGTGTGAGATACCAGTCACCAGATTGCACCACCAGAATCAATCCATCACTGCTTTAACCTGTGGTATTTTAGGACTGCACTGCATGCAGGTTTGCACACTTTGGTGTACGCACATTTGTGCATGTGCATGTGTGTGCATGCAGACTGCTCAGGTTTTCATCTTTCATTCATGACAGTTGTTAAGTTTCTTATTCCTGTGAGCTAAGTTATGAGGCAGAGCAGAGTGGATTAGAAGGGAACGTAATGGACGGGTCACTCCCTGGGTGATGCTTGAAGTGTCTCTAGAGTGATCACAAACACCTCTGCCCTTTTTATTTCATAGAAATGATACTCAGGAGTGGATGCTGAATGTTATCAGAAGAAATAATCAGAGCTGTTTTACTGAAAAACAAGTAAAAAGTCAAACCGTGAGAGTTAGAAAGTCTTTGCAGATATCTTGCAGTAATAGTTACTACAGAGATCAAATCCACAGAACTTCGCTGTACAAGGTAACCTTTCTAAAGCGCCTCAGAGGTGGGGGGTCCCGGAGTGGAGAAGCCATGGCCCCAGCTCCCTGTTCACCCAGGCAGCTTGCTCAGCCTGGCTGGGGTGCGCGACCCGTGCAGGGGTGTGGCCGGCCTGCATCTCATCAGGGGTTCAGAGATGGGGCAGCTTGCCCTCTTCCGCTTTCCTCCATTCTCCTTCTCTTTCTCTTTCATTCGCTCACAGAGAAGTGGTTCCTTTGCTGCTTAGTTTATTATTAGTGACTCAGTAATGATGGGATTTGAACACAGAGCCTTCCCTGAGCCAAGCCAGTAGTTAACTTTCTTGCCGCTGGGGTATAACTCGTGCCACCTGCATCTGTGGGGCACAGGGTTATTGGCTCACGGTTTGGGGGGGTTGGTTCCGTCTTCATCTGCTGGCTGCAAGGCAGGGCGCAAAGGCCTGGGGGAGCACAGCAAGGAGGCAGAGGAACAGGGAAGCTGGGACAAGAGGGCACCTTTCCTGGTCACCCTGCTGGCTGCCTCTAGCCAGGTCCTCCCACAGTCAGCTGTGACCCTTCTGTAGGAATCCCCCCACCCCAGGAGACTTTGAGGAGACTTTAGATCCAAACCATAACAAAACATTTTATATTTTGATTTTGAGGCAAGGTCTCATTTTGTCACAAAGTTGTCCAGGGTAACCTTGAACTCATGACCCTCCTCCCTTGGTCTCCTCTTTGGATGACTAACTTTGAGGCAGTAAATTTTCTTAACAGTAAATTTAGACGTGTACTTATTTTACCCATGTTTGTGTTTGTGGTCGCCCATGCATCTTGCTGCTTTCTGAGCTGGTGTACCTTGCTCTTGCTGGACTATATGTGTGTACGTGCGTGTACCCAGCAGTGTGTGTATGAACTCCCATGTGGACACAGCTCCAGCAGTGTGACATCCCCCAAGGACCAGCTCTGCCTGGCGGCCTCTTCTTGGGCCAAGAGGGGTGGAAGGCTTGGCCCTCGGAAAGTTGGCGGCTGCTGTGACCTCTGGGAAACTTCGGCTCAGAGCTGCTGGCCCAGCATGGCTGGCTAGAAGTTTTCCAGGGAAACCTTTGCCAGAAAGTGTTCTCTACACCTCCAAGCCAGCCCTGAGTGGAGTCGCTCTTGTTCTTGCCCAGCGTGGACAGAACAAGTGACAGTCCCTGTGCTGCAAGCGTGGGTCACGATTCTCCCTAGGGATGGAAGGAAGCTCAATCAGGGCGGTGATGACCGAGGGGCAAACGGAGAGGCGTGTCTGTCCAGGACATCCGCGTGGGGTTATAGGGTCTCCCAGTCTGTATTAAGGATGCCAGGGGCCGTAAGCCTCGCAGCACACCATTCCTGGCTCTGGGAGGAGCAATGCCTGTCACAGGGATGCTGGCTCTGTCCTGTCTGCCTTTCCCTCTGCAATCTTAAGGCTTAACATCATAAATGACCGTAATATATAAATCCTCCTTTACTTATTTAAAATTTTTCAATTTACTTTTTGAAAAACAGAACTGTAAAAAGATAGCCGAGAGCCATCTGTTCTATCTAGCGCCCCTGCTGAAGAATGCAGAGTTTGAGGACCAGGGCTATTACTCCTGCGTGTTTTCTCTTCGTCACGATGGGAAACTGTACAGCATCACCAAGACCCTCAATGTCACAGTAGTCAAAGGTAAGAGGAGTCCCTGAATTGTGTAGAGCCCAGTCCTAGTTTCTTATAAAGTCACTGGAAGTCGAGAGGCTTGTGAGCGTATCACGGTTCACATGTCAGGTTGACAATCTTCATTTTGGCTCAGTCCACCTGGCTGTAAAAGTTTTGGTAGCAAAACCTCACAGGTTTTATTTGGAATTCAAGAGACTGGGGAACTTTGCTGTCACCCGTTGTTTTCACACTGATATTTATTGCAAGCCTGAATATTTATCAAGACTTCCATACTCGATAGACTGTCGGTAGCCTGGGAGGCAAAGGACTCGGAGAGCTGTGGAGTGAAGCCAGCAACACGGCATCCTCTAGGAATCTCATTCTAATCCAGGAGGCATCAAGCAGCCTCGACACCCCTGCAGAACTTTCTGGACTGTGTCTTAGTCCTTTCCCTTGCTGTAACAGGGAGCCATAGACTGGGCAAGGTTTAAATGATAGAGATTCCTATGGCTGATAGCTGTGGAGGCTTCAAGTGTGTCATGACTCAGTGTGGGGGCAGGTGAGCATGGCTGAGTGAGAAAAATGGAGGGGAGACTCATCCTGCCCCAAAAGCTAACCCCCTCCTCCAGTAGCCAACCCCCTCCCCCAATAGTTAATCCCCTCCCACAATTGCTAACCAATCCTGCAATAGCTAACCCCCTCCTGCAATAACCTGCCCACTCCTGAGATAACTGATCACCTCCTAAAGTTACTAACCCACTCCTCTATAACTAACTCATACATACATACATACATATATACAATGACTGATCTATTCCAGCCATGCAGTAACTAATGCACTCCTGTAGTATGGCATTATCCGGTCCGTGAGGACAGGCCCCTCCTGACCTAATCCCCAGAGAACCATAACTCTGTTACAGTGGCAGTTAGCTTGCATCATGAGTTTTGGAGGGGGCTTTCCATCCACACATCATTGTAGCACCCTGTGTTCATAGGATTGAGGATCAGGGTGGGTTAACTTGGAGTGGAGCTATTATTCTGCAGGCCACAGCCATGCCTGGGCCATCCAGTAGCTGAATTTGTGCACTCCAGAAGATGAAATTCCAGGTGTCGTCCTCACCTGGGATCCTCAGCTCCACAGTCCTGCTGGCAGTCCGGTTTAGTTGGAGTGGGAAGGTGAGGACCCTCCGCCCCCACCCACTTCTCAGAGGGGTGTGCAGTTGAAAACTTCTGAGCTGTTCACTGCTGGGATTTTCTATTCCATGCTTTTTGGACCACAGTTGATCCTGAGTAGCTGGAACTGCAGAGAGCTAAACGCAGATGTAGGAGACCACTGTGCTGTATTACACTGGATGAGCACTGGATAACAGGTGCTTTTCTTGGAGAAATTCAGGGCCTGAGCATTAGGAAAACTAATGTTCTCCTCTTTCCTTCTTTCAATTTTAGATCCCAGTGAGGTAATTCCAGTTATTCTTGGACCAAAGCTGACCCAAGTTGAAGTGGAACTAGGTATGTCTCAGCATGCACCATCTTCCTGTTTATGAGAGGAGGGACATACTCCAGTTCCACAGGGTAAAAGTGAATCGTGTTGAATTAACATGGTGCACAATGTGTTCAATATTTAGTGAGAGCATTCCGAAAGCAGAGAAAGCGTGTCATCATTTGAGTGTTGTCACTTTGGGGCTGACTAAAAGGAGCATTCTGCTCAAAGACAGAAGAACCACATGAGGATTTTGTAGTGGGACTTCTGTCACCAAGTCAGTGACCTGCTCTCATTACCTCTGTGGTTCTTTCTAAACACGGAGATTCAGGGATGACACTCCAGCTAGACGACTCAAACTTGTTTTGTGGTTTGAATATGAGATTCACTGATGCCCCTTGAATCAGAGGACCTAGTTAGCTGTCCACTTAGGATGTGTCTGGATGGGTCTGATGGGTCCACATGGCTTACTGGGTAATTTCTTTCCAAAAATGAAAGTGAGGGAAGAAAGAAACACACACATGCTGAATACACCAGGGGAGGGCAGTACATTATCAACCCGAACGCTCAGGCCAACTCTGAGATGCTCTTCCTGCCTTCTGATTAAGTAACAGACGCGCACACAGGCTGAGTACCTGGTCTCCAGCTGGACTCCAGAATGCGGCAGATGCTGGGACACTGGGTCCCAGAGCCCACGCCCTGGAGCTGGAGCAGGTTCACAGCTCTCCACATACCGTGGTGAGCCTCAGGGGCAGGTCAGCGCTGTGATGTTGCACTGAGGGCTTCTGACTTCATGTTTGATTGATTCCCTATCTCTGTGGTTTCTGTCCTTCTCTTTTGGGGATGAACTTTTTTTTTTTTTTTTTTTTTTTTTTTTTTTTTTTTTTGTAGCTTGTTGACAGTGAATGTTAGGAATTAATTTCAATTATCCTCTCTTGTGGCCTATGTATGTGAACTACATTTTTCCCTGAACCCTATGTTAGCTATTTCTAAAAGAATTAGTGTGCCATATTTTACATTATTCTATTGTAACACTTAAAAATTATCCCTCGTGGGTCCTTTCTTTCACCTCTGGCTTACTTTTTCCTCCTTCTCTTCCTCCTCCTCCTCCTTCGTCCTTCTCCTCTTTTTTTGACACAGGGTCTCACTATGCAGTGCAGGCTGGCCTTGAACTCAGTTTTGTAGCCCAGGCTGGCCTTGAACTCAATGCCATCCTCCTGCCTCAGCTTTACAGAGCTAGGTTTATAGGCATGCACCTCTGTGCCTGGCTTATTCCCGCCCCCCTCTCTGTGTCTCTGTCTCTCTCTGTCTCTCTCTCTCTCTCTCTCTGTGATATTTTTGTACCAGGAATCAAACTCAGGACCTTGTGCTTGCTAGGGGAATTGCATTTGCCTCACACCTGCTGTAGCTGAGGGCGGGAAGAAGACTGTAGTCAAGAGATGTCAAGTTTGCACAGCCCCAACCCTCGGCGATGATCCTCCAGCCTGTGTAGCTGCCAGCATCCCCCTGGGTCTATTTCCCTGTGACAATCTCCCTGTGTATTCGAGCCCAAGTACATGCGCCATGCAGTACGCTGGCCAGCTGTCTTCACACGCCCTGGAAACGATCTTTCCTGACTGCACGCACATCTGTTTCTACTTACTTTTCTGCACCTCTGTGTCTTTAGTTTTTAGCTATTTATTTATGAAGTATCTGCTTTGTTGTTCTGGAAGTGGCTGTCCGCACCCTGTCTACAGAATTGTGCACTGAAGAAAAGTCCCCCTGCCACCCTAAGGTTTAATAATCGATTTAAAAGTGAACATACAGGGATAAATCATTCATACTTTGCTGGTGGCTTGTCATTGCTACCTAATTCCTCTGGCTTAGTATTATTATTTTTAATCTAAAAACCAGCTTACATCTGTTCTGTTCCATACAGCACTGTGTTTTGCAATAAGTTACCATTCATTGATTATACTAATTAGAACTGTTTGGAAAAAGTCTGAGTTTCTAAAATGCAAACGTGGCTGTCAAACTTTTACCTAGGAGAAGATGTGGAGCTCAACTGTTCTGCTTTGCTGAATGAGAAGGACTACTTTTACTGGATCTTCCAGAAAGAAAATGCATCAGCTCCCAATGTGCATGAAGACCACAGAAGGAGCTCTTGGTATGCACTTGTGGCAGGCAGCACGCATCCCGGTACATGACAGGTCACAGCACCTGTGCGTGGTAGAGAAGATGTGGATCCCCCGAGTGGCTGGTGTGGGCCTGGGGCTGGCCTGCGGTACACCACCGTCTGCATTGTGCCTTGTATGTGTTGTTGTCACGGCCATCCCTCAGCTGGCTCATGCAGCCATTTATTACCAAGTTCTGAGCTGTATAAAAGATCCCAGAGAAAGTCCTGGTAGTTTTGTCATCATCTTGTAAGAGCAGGCTGAAGTGGTCAGGGTGTAAATGGTGGGATTTTTCCAAGTTTCTTAGAAGAGCAGTTACCTGGACCACCAGGTTACTTGGATTTTGAAAACTGAGTTAAATGCTTTATTTTTACTTCTGTATCACGAAAGTGCCAAGCAGCACACACTGATATTTAAGTAACCTACATTCAGGAATGTCCAGACTTAGGACTAGAAGGCGTCCTAAGCAGATTGTCACTTGATCTTTTTTGAACGGCATGGGATCCTACTGTGGTTATTAATTATTGGTTTTAATTCAGGTTCTGAGCAGTGGTGATCCTGGAGTTGCGGCCCCTTCCCTGCACTTCCGGATTTTCCTCTGGCCTTTTACTTTTCTGTGGTGTGTTTCTTGTCACCACTGTGACGTCCCCGACCTCTCTCTGTCACTGCCAGGCCAGGCAGCTGCTTAGTGCCTGGAGCGTGTTGGATTCAGCCCTGTGGTTGGGCTGTCTTACTGACTGCTCTCTTTTTGGTGACTGTCCCCCCGTCAGTGCTTCTAGTGACTTCTGTCTCACCTCTGGCGGGATGGAGACCCACTGTTCCTTCTGTAGAACTTTCCCTGAGCCTGTGAGACCAGGGCAGGCTCTGCACTGGGAGCACCTGCTGTGAACGCCATCCTGCTGGATGTGCTGAGGACCTCTGCATCTTACTTCTGGGTTTGCACAGATGTTAGGTAGCTGATCTTTCCAGGTGGGTGAATTCTGTACAGACCTGTGTTCCACAGGCCTCAGAGACTGCCCTGGACCACGTCCCATGTGCTTGAGAGAGCTGTTGCTTGGCACACAGGGAGCACAGTGGCTAAGCTGGTTAGTACAGCACCTCACAGCCTGTCACGCCCACAAACACGAGTGCTTGACTTGCATCCCCAGTGGGAGCCCTGGAGCCCTGGGAGGGACAGGGAGAGCTCGCTCACTGCCGGTCACTGCTGTTATTTCGGATGCTTGCTGAACAGCTCAGCTGGTGTTTGCCTCTACCTAGGTGTCTGAGAATAGTGATCTTTTTCTAAGGTCAAGCAAAAGAAAAGGAGTCTCAGGGACTGCTTGGTCACACTTGATGTGACTGTGTGTCTGTGCCAAACTGTTTAGAGCTGCTGTGGTTTGAATACAGTGTGCTCCCCAGGCTTTGTACCAGTGTCATCCTCAGAGTTAGGACAGAACTCTACACCAACAATGATGCTTAGGGGAGGAGCTTTGGGGGGTGATTAGAGTGGATCAGTCATGAGAATGGAGTCCTAAGGTTGGATTCAGGTGGCTTTAGAAGAAGAGGCGAGAAAAAGCCATGACACAGAGGTGCACACACCATGACTGCTTTAGCTCTGTGGGGATCTTTGCATACTGCCCCAGGCTGTTTGGATTTCAGCCTTCCAAAATGTGAGCTAAATGAACTTCTTTTCTTTACAAAGCAACCCATCTCAGGTATTTTATGATAGTAAAGAAAGCTGCTTAATACAGCAAGCTCCTAACCATAGATGGAGACTGTGAGCAGCAAGAACCTTCAGTGGTTAGGTGGGAAGGTATAGGAGAGAGAGAGAGAGAGAGAGAGAGAGAGAGAGAGAGAGAGAGAGAGAGAGAGAGTGACATTCCCAGTATTTTCAACTTGGTAGCAATATAGTTGCTTTGCTTGTTACTGAGCCACAAAATGCAACACCCACAATGAAAAAGATAATAGATTTATTTTGGCTCAGTGTTTTGTGGGATTCCGTGGTAGGAGAGCTGGCATGGAGGAGGGTCACTCAGGTCATGGTGGCCAGGAAGCAGGGAGCAAATGGAGGAGCCTTCGCGGGAGATCAGTGCTTCCAGATCACCACCCCAGTGACCCTACCGTGACCTAGCTAACAGCACATTGGGCCACGGAACTCAAGAGTGGATGGACCCACTATTGAGCATGGCACCCCATGAGCTATTCACCTTCTGAAAGCTTCTCCTCTGAATACATGAGGCTTTGGGGGTCATTCTAAACCTAAGCTCTGATACTACCCTTCTCCTTCAGGTGTTTAAATTCGGGGTAACTGACAACTCTGTCCCCAGATGGTATCAAAAGGGCTGCTGCTGTCTGCTCTGATGTTCCACAGAGTTCCATCAGCAGTCACCCCCAGAAGGAAAGATCTAAGAGAGCCGAGGGGTAGCCGCTGTTGAATGTCTCACACTTACAGATTTCCCACTCAGGAGGAACTTCACTGATGACAAAGCCTATCAGCAAATTATTTTTCTTCTTCCAGGACTTTAGAAGGCAAACTGTATGCTTCGAGAATCCTGAGAATTAAGAAAATTAGTGAAGACAATCTGAATGTTTTATACAATTGTACCGTGAGCAGTACCAGGGGCACGGATAGCAAAAGCTTCATCTTGTTGAGGAAAGGTAGGCATGTTTTGTGCCTGGAAGTGTGTGGAGCTCTGTGGGCAGCTGTGTGGCATGATGGGCTCAGGGATGGCCAGTCCCTCCTCTCCGTGGGAACCAAGCTCCTGCAAGGTGGCAGATGCTCCTGATCCCAGGAGATGGGACGTGAGACTGGGGCTCTGCCCTGGCTGGATTCCTCTGAGACTCAATCCCAGCCAGAGGACAAAAGCTGAGTGTGTGCTCTGCTCTCAGGAGAACAGGAAAGTGGTTCAGAGGCCGAGCAGAGGGACATAGGTGCTGGGGGCCAGGGCCTCAGGGGAGGCAGCTGAGGGGGTTTCCCACGGGAACAAGCAGAGGGAGTTCTGCAGGTGGGCTGGGGTGAGCTATGGCCCATAACTGCTGCCCATGGCCACATGAGCAGGGCTCAGCAGGCCCTCGGGTGTGGTCACCCAATCCATGGAGCACACCTAGGGCCTCTTCCCTGGCAGCCCCTGGATAGGGCCTGTGGACATTCGGTGGTTCCTGACATGTCCAGCGAGGACCTCTGTGGTGCTGTGGCCTCTCAGAAGTGGCTGAACCTGGAGCTAAAATCTCCACGTTCCTCTGTCCCCATCCCCTTGCTGCTTCCCATTCCCAGGCATGGCCCCCAACTCCCTGGATAGAGAAGGAACAGTGATGACCAGAGAGACTGAAAGGGAGAAACAGACACACAGAGAGACCAATAGGGAGAGATGAGAGAGACAGAGAGATGAACAGACAGGGAGATGGAAGCAGAAAGGCGGGTGGAGAGAGAGACAGAAAGAGATACAAATACAGAAGAGAGAAAAACAGTGTAAGACACACACACAGGGAACCTGCCTCAGTGGGGCAAGGGGAACCCCCAGGAAGAAGCCACCCTCTCTGTTCTGCCCGGGCCCCCCACCTCTCATCAAAAGCCTGTTTGAAGCCACTGCTGTCCCTCCAGTGTCCCTGCCGGAGCCAACATTCTTCACACATTGGTCCGTGACACTCTGTGCTCAGCTCCTCTGTGGCTGCACTGGTCTGGGCCCCAGGCTCCAGTAGGTGACAAACCCTCCCAAGGCCCTGCAGCAGCAGAGGTAGTGAACTGCAGACCTGGTGACTGCTAGAGTCGCAGGGTCCTCTTGTGTCCCCTCATCCCTCCAGAAGTGCCCGTGTCCTGGGTGCTGTGGCCAGTGCAGTGGAGAGGAAGAGGCCTCCAAGTCTCTAAATTCCGGATGATCCCCTGGGCCACCTGCATTTCCTAGCATCCCCCAGCCACCTGCCACCTGCCCTGTCCCTGCTCAGCACCTTCTGCCCTGAGTGCTCTTCCTGCTGAGTCCACAAATGCAGGCTGGGGTACAGGGTTTCCCAACCCACCCCTGCCCTTAGAGAGTGTGGGTGCCTGGGTGCCCCTCTGTGACCCTGTATGCACGCGTGTATGGACACATGTGTCTGGCAGGATCACGAGTGTGTAGACCTTTCAGAGACACAAGAACCCAGCACCTGGATTCATTCCAGGCTCACTTCTGAAGTACATATCGTAGCTGACCCACATCCTAACACTTCATTTTTCTGGAAAGATGAAAAAATGCTCCCTGAGCAGGCAGAAGCTTAAAGGATCTTTGTAACACTTCAACCCTACAATCTCCCCTCTGTAAGAAAATTAATTCCAAGAAGATAAACAAAAGCACAGACCCATGGGGTGCATGGGTCATTTCAACACTATGTGTACTTAGAGCAAACTGTGATCTAGCCAAATTTGGGACACTGTAAATGAGAATCTGAATGACCTAGTGAAATGCTGTTAGTGTAATGCAAATGAATGCAGAGTGACTATCATGGTATCAATTAAGTAAAACCTGTGGGTAAAAATGAAACCCAGCAAGGAAATGAATGTACTGCCTTGTCAGCATGGCTGTTACCACATTGTGAGCTGGCTGTTAAAATCATACTCCTGCGTAATCTCATAGTTACCTCAGTGAGCATGAACTGAATCAGTCTAGGAAACAGGAAATTCTTTTCCCAAAGGAATACAGAACAGTTTGATGCAATTCTGAGGACTCCATACCATGCACTTGTGACACTGAGGCACGGTACCCCCCACCCCCACCAGATGTCAGCTGGGAGGGAAACAAGCTTTGTGTACCATTTTTATTTCACTGAAGAAGACTCTAGGATAAAGGCGCCCCCATGGTCTTTCCTGTGATTCGAGCAGACGCTGAGTCAGGCTGCAAACCCTACTTCCACTCAGTCCTGTCTCCTGTCTCAAACCCATGCACGTCCGTTGGCTCAGTCTGGCAGCCAAGACGTACATGTGAACTTTTCACAGTTCACCATAGTACGTGACAGCCCCAGAAATCTGAATGCCCCAGGCATGGATGCAAGATGTCACAGTATTTTCAGTCCATGTCTCTGAATGTCCCTGGACAGGGGTATTCCACATGAATTGGAGGAGAAAGATCATGCTGTAGACCAACAGCAGGAACAGGAGGGATGGAGCAGACTGGACCCAGGGTGGGTGGCTGGCTTAATGAGAAGGGGAAAGTGTGAGTGCTGTGCACCAGCGTGGAAGGTGCTGCTAATGTACAGTTGGCGCTGTCTGTTGGCACAGGTGCGGCTGACATCCCAGGCCACGTGTTCACTGGAGGGATGATTGCGGCCACTGTGGTCTCTGTGGCGGTCCTGTGCCTGGCGGTCATGTGTGTCATCTACAGAGTAGACCTGGTTCTGTGTTACAGACGCTGGACGGGAAGAGATGAAACGCTAACAGGTAATGGATGTCGTGATGCTGGGGCTTTTTGTTTTATGCTCTCATGGCTAAACCAGACAAATGAGTCTCTATCTTGTTAAAGATTAATGCTCTTCACTTTATTTTGATTACATTGTTGACCTAGTCTGTGGAGAGATTTTCTATGAAAAATCGCACATCACAGGCCATCCACGGTGAATATTGCTCTGTGTTCTTTCCTTGTGCTTACTTATGTGCTGCCGTATGTTTTGGGAATGTATGTGTGTGTGCTTGTATGTTTCTTGCATGCCGTGTCCTACATGTGTCATGCAGTGCTTGGGCCAGGAACCTTGCCTCTGCACACCTCTGTACACAGCTTTCCCCACCTTCTAAGCACGCACAGTCAGTAAGTTCATTGGCATTTAGTTGCATTGCATTACGGGTCACGATTATGACCTGGAAAAGGAGATGTGACCCCTGCAAGAAGCCTGAGCTAGAGGTCTCCTTGGTCTGCCAGTTCTTATCTGTTACTGGGTCGCTCTGGTGACTTTTCACCTCGATCTTTTTATATTTACAAGTACCAACAAATCCTTAAGTTTTAGGATATTACAAATCAATTCAGTCCATTGGAGGAACAGATTTATATTGCAAGAAAGGAGTTCCTTGAAGAACAGAATTGGAAGGCAGTACTGGAAAGCTAATTTTTGGCAAGAATAGAGATGTATCGCGTGCAGTGCAAACATGCTTTTGGCTGAATTGGCCTCCCAGTCTGTTCCAGTTAGCTGCAACCTAGCTGTGGTGAGCAGCGTGCCTTTGTAAAGAGTGTGGCCATCAGGTCGTCTCTCCTTGGCAACTCTTCTTACGCTAACATAGTGACCAACAGTAGCAGAAACGCCGCCTCCTGCCCACCTGGTCAGTGCTGCATTTCACAGCAGCCCAAGAGAGCTCTGCAGGGAGAGCTGCGTGCTGATTAACCAGCCCCTGCTTTTATTTTTGTCAGCTTTTCTAACCTTTGATATGCATGTATGTCTGCAACTTTTACCCACTTTCTTATCTTTCATACACATGCAGTTCTGAAGAGCAGGAGCTTTGGATCAGTAGTAGGTTGAGTCTTGAACTATGAACCCACAGTGCCGAGATCAGAACTGACAGAAACCGGAAGCAGCGTCCTGCAAGGCTGAAGACTCACGTTGCCCTGGGCGGCTGAGAATCCTGTGTCACCTGCAGGACCTGGCAGGGGCTGGTTTTACCCTAATACACTGTTACAAAGGTTCACACCGTTTCGGCCCCTCCATGCAGGACTCCTCCTGATAGTATGCTGAGCTGTGAATGTCACGCTTTGCCATCTCTCAGCTGTCACAGGATAAGGACAGGCCATTCCCTGCCATTCTGTCCCCCTCTACCCATTCTGATGAGCACTGCTTACTCTGTTTAGGCCCGGACTCACACTTTCCCTCATCCAGGAAGCACGTCGAAATCACTGCTTTCCACGTCTCCCCAGAGGCTCTTCCATTCGTCTGCCTCATTTTTATAGTGCTGCTTTTAATCTGCTCATGTGCTGTTAGTAACTTTTTAATGGACAAAAGACAAAACAAAATTTCATAGCAAGAGGATAGGAGAATTACAATAGTTCATACATTGCATATTATTATCTTTAAAGTAGTTGTCCGAGTCCAACATATGGGCAGTAAAGTTCTCCAGTGGTTACAAGCGCAGACTTTCCTCTATGGTGAGCTGAGAGATGCTGATCTGATCATGTAACTAGCTTGCATTTTGCAAGTTGTTGGGTTTGTCTCCTGGGTCTTCTCAGAGAGGTTGGCTGAAGCCAGAGAGCGAATTGGATGATTGTAGTTTTTTTTTTACCTACCCGTAAGGAGAATGGGCTTCCTCATTTAGGCAGCACATTTCCCCTGAATGTGTCTGTGGGTCATTTCGATACAGCTGCATTACCAGGATCTAGGGAGGGGCAGATGTGGAGGTTCCTACTGGTGGCTGGGGTCCTATAATATTCTAGACGTGCATAGCCTGTGCTCTCCAGTGTGTGGCTGTCGTCACCCCTGTGTCCGTCCTGCCCTGCACTGCATGTCTGTCTTTCCTTCCTGGGGCATTGATGAGGACAACATTGAACCGGAGTGAGCCCGGAGAGACTTGCTGACCAGCCTGCATGTTGGCCTGCTGTTGTGTATCCACTCCTGGGCCCTGAGCCACTCTCCTGTTAGTCCCAGTCCCTCAGTGGTTTCTCATGCTGGGTCTGTTAGACTCTGCGCGTGAGAAGCATTCCTCCGATTGGCTCCTTGGCATCTGGGATTTGACAGTGCGGGACTGAGCCTTCCTCTCCCAGCTTTCCTACCCCTTAAGACATTCTTTGAACTTTTACCTCTGGCGCCTCAGATATCCTCTTAAAGAGTCCACCCTGTCTCCTAGATGGCAAGACATACGATGCGTTTGTGTCCTACCTGAGGGACTGTCAGCCCGAGGACGGGGAGGAGTACACTTTCGCTGTGGAGACTTTGCCCACGGCGCTGGAGAAACACTTTGGGTACAAGTTATGCATATTCGAGAGGGATGTGGAGCCCGGAGGAGGTAAGACGTGTTAGCCCCAGAAAGCTAGCAGGGACTGGCTTTCACAATCAGCTGCTTAGCTGTATAGCTGACTTAATTTTCCCCAAAATATAAATAAATAAAGTCCTAAGGAACAGACAAACCAGAGAACATCTCCTTGGGGATTCTTCATTCTGTTCCGGGCTCAGCAGGCAGGAGGCGGGTGCCTCCTGTGGGCATCTCCTCTTCAGTGTCACAATCTTAACTTAACACAGGGTGTCAGGGCTGTAAAACACAGAAGGACCCTACTAGAAAATGCTCCTTCTTGATGTTAATGCTGTTGACAAAATTACAGGAGGAAGTGGGGGAACTGGAAAAAGATAAATATAAGGAAATTGTTGGTGACGCTCATGAGATCATAGCGATGGAATTAGGGTTTTCAAATTAATGCATGAATGCAAATTGCGTAGCACATATATTGAGGCAAAATACAATTAAAATTGAAGACGTTTACTAATATTTCCATGTTTTTCTCTTGAGGTCTTTCAGAGGAAATACTGGAAATTTAGTGTCAAATTACTGTGACTGTTGATGCTAGTAAACAATAGAAATGACATCCTCCTGGTTGTGATGCATTATTCACCCAGATTTACTGAATACCATCACCCTGGGCTGGGTTCTGAGCTGGACACTGAAAATAACAGAAATAATTTAAACAGGGAACTAACATTTTCCCCTCCTAGCTTACAATTTAGAAAGGGAAAATGTTACTAACTAGAATGACAAAGTGTAGTTTAATAACCAACAACTTCTCAAATGGAATAGTCATCATCCATACAACACTGACACTTTTTTGTGACAGTTCTTTGTATCTAAAAAGGTGTGTTGTTATTCCCAAAGCCTTATCTGCCCCATGCATCAATTTTGCTGTATGTATATTATTCGCTAAGAGAAATTTCAAAATAGATTTTCTCCCTATTTTTTGAGCTCTTAAACAAGAGTAAAGGCAGTTTGTATATTCAGTTGTAATCAAGTTTGACTGAGCTCTCTGGAGTCTAGCACAGGGGTCCGTATACTGCCATGTGGTTCATCAAGGCTGGTCCCGGGCTGCGTGATCTGCTCTCCAGGGCAGCTTTTCAGCAAACACAGCTGAGTCACATAGAGGGGCCAAGACAGCAATGACCTGCAAAACCAAAGTATTTACTATCTGGTCCTCTGCAGAAAAGACAGGCCAGGTCTGGTCTAAGATAATGAACAGTGGTGTAGTTTAGAGTACTGTGGATTTTTTTTAAACCTTCTTTGCTTTTTAATCTTCAAGTTTTGATTGCTGCACGCTCCTCCATGCACCGGGAGGCAGGAGGGTGTGCTGGGTGTGAAATGTGCATGTCGGGTTCTGCCTTTTCCTAGCTGTGGGGCTCCAGGAAAGTTGCTGAGCTGCTCTGGGGTGGGCCTCCGTGCCTGTAAAAGGAACAGGATGCCAGTGCCTGCTTCCAGGGCTCAGTAGGAAGATAAACAAGTTCATATACAGAAAACCTTAGAGACGGGCACAGAGGAAATGCTGGGAGGTACTCGTCACTGCCACCTGCATGGTTATTTTTGTAAACCTACAGTTGAGAACAAGTGGTTTTTCTTAGCTTATTCATAAGCTGAACAGCTAAATAATATAAAATAGGACATATGTAAAAGTAATTTTTGTGCCACACCCACCCTTCTTGGTGGCTTAAACATCTTCAAATGTCTCCAGCTGCCCTTGATGACCTCCATTCACTGATCCAGAAGAGCCGCCGGCTGATCATCGTCCTCAGTAAGAGTTACATGTCTCACCAAGTCAGATATGAACTCGAGAGTGGGCTCCATGAAGCGCTGGTGGAAAGGAAAATTAAAATAATCTTAATTCAGTTTGCACCTGCCGGTGACTTCACGTTCTTGCCACAATCACTGAAGCTTTTGAAATCGCACAGAGTTCTCCAGTGGAAGGCGGACCAGTCTCCATCCTATAACTCGAGGTTCTGGAAAAACCTTCTTTACTTAATGCCTGCAAAAGCAATCAGGCCAGACAGGGGCAGCTCGGAGGTCCTGCCTGTCCTTGCTGAAGTGTCCTAGCTTCTAGGGCAGCTGTGTGTCCCAAAGACCTCTAGTGAACCTGGGCTCCAAGCATGTGAACCTGTTCAGAGCAGACCCTCGTTCAAAACATGTAACTCTCTACAAACCCCACTTGCTTCCTGAAGAGGAGATTCATCATTAGATCATCAGGGTGAGGCTCAATCTTGAGCTGGTCCTGTGCTTCCGGGAGATCCTGGAATTCAGAAGAGCTGCAGCTGGAGCTTCCCTGGCAGCTGCTGGCACCCATTCTGTGATCAGAGAGCATGACACTGGGTCCTATGCAGACACCTGTGCCTGACAATGGGAATCACATGGCAGCGTCCAGTGCTAACAGTTACTGTGCTCTAGGGGACTTCAAATGCAGGAAGCAGGGAGCTGTATTAGCCGAGGGTGGGTGGCTGGGTGGGTGGCTGGGTGGTGGTCCTTGGAATGCTGCCTTCTCCAGCCACCTTGGATCCTCTGGGGAGGGGGAAGAGGAGTGGGAGGGCCTGGGATGTGGGGTACAGGAGTTGGGCTGAGCAGGGAGCTTTCAGCAGGACTTGGACCCAGGACACACTCCCTTCTTCCGGTCCCTGGTCAAAGTTAACAGTTCCAGAGCCCAATGAGGCACAGGGCAGAGCTCACTTATCCAGACCTATTCTTGGAAACCCTCTAAAGGCACCCCAAGCCCCTTTATGTCTTTCATGAGAGGGCCCAATTTTATTTCAGATATTCTTGGTGACTTTCAATTCTGATGATCTTAAATATTGATAGAGGTCATGTAGAGATCTGTATTCAGAATGGTGCCAGATCACATTAGCCATCAAACAGAAGAAAAAGAAAAAACAAGCAGTGTGTCTGATGGAGTTTAGAGAATCCTGGGTCTAAAACGCCCCTGGAAAGTGTTTGTAGGTTAGCACATGGTTTAGACAGGATGCCATGCCGTGTCCTGTGTCTAAACAACTGCAGGGGAGACAGCAATACACAGCACAGCGACTGCTGGCAGGCCCTGCTCCCCTGTCTTGAAACTTGGTTTCATCATTTATCTTTTTTCTTTAATAAAAAACAAAACAAAAGAAAAAGAAACGCCCCTGTTATAGAGATGGTCCGGCAAGGCGGTTTTGGGTCTAAGCTGCTTAGCCCACACTGAGCTCTCTGGAGCCTTACCTCACCTCCCAGTGCCTCAGTTTCCTCATCCCTAGGTCCCAGGATACTGAATCCACACATGCTTAGAGCAGTTCCTGGTAGAGGAGTTCCCTCCTTCCTGTGGCCTTCAGGGCTGTTGTCACCTTAATTAATTCCTGTTCAGATCAGTTACTTAGCAATGGGCAGAAGAGAAGTCACAGAGGGGAAGGGGAGGCTCAGGTGAAGGGGAGGCCGGATTTGATCTGAGGACCTTCATGAACACAGTGAGACAGAGGCGCTTAGTACTGACCCTGTGGAGCGCCTGCCCGCACTGGAGCCAGAGCTGCCGGTCCTCCACCACCTGGAACCCAGTCGCTGACCATGGAAATGCAGAGCTCTGGGCAGCAGCCTCCCGGGGGAGGGGAAGTCACATGAGCTAAGAGCAGGCTGGCAGAGCCTGAGTGCCTCAAGAGTGTTCCAGGAAAGTTTAAAGCAGAGATACAGTGGATTTTGCTGAAACATCAGGGAGAATGAGGTTCCCTGTGTAAGAGGGAGGTTTAGTTCTATGGTGCTTATGACTTTGCAGGCTGCTTGACTGTTTTTAAAAGTGAGTGAAGGAATATTTATGTTTTGTATGTGAAACCTTGGAATAAAGTCAATACATTTCGTGTACTCTGCTTTCCTTTTTCATTACACAGACTTTAAAGCACATTGTGCATATTTTATATTAAGTGTGTTTCACACCAAGTGTGGTAAATGTGTGCATTACGTGTGTGCTTTTAAAAACTTCGAGCACATTGCACACATTAATAAATCATGGTTCTCACACTGCGACTTTAAAATGTCTCGAGGTGTTTTTCACTTTAAGACTCCAGGCCTCCCTTCTCCACGTAGGTTCCAGTCTATCTCTATCTCAGCAGTGTGTGCAATATTCAGAAGGGACGCCTGGGGCTTTCTGTTTTACCTCACATGCAGGGGCGAAACAGGCGTTCTCTCCTCTCTGTCACAAACCCATGCATGATGGCCCTTGGGTCTGACACACATAGGCCTTCATATGCCAGGGGATTGGTGCATATGTGATTTAATTTTAGACCCAACAAGACCATTTCTGACCAGGATCAATCGGTAACATCTTAGGGATTTGAACATCTTCTTCAGAGATTTCGGGCGTCCTTAAATTGGAAAGTGTATTTCCAAGAATCAGAACACCCAGCTGTGTAAGCACAGAGAAACAGCTCGCTGCTGTTTACTGTTCTGGGTTAGGCACCTGCTGGACCACAGCTGTGTTCTCAAAGCAGAGAGAAGCCTCGAGCGTGTTCCAGACCCAGGAGGCTGAGACCTGGGCACACATTCTGTCTGGGTTTTGACGGCTGTTGCAGCCCTGGCTGCTCTCCTGGCTGTGACAGGTCAGTGCAGTTTCTTCATCTGACCTGCCGGGTGGAAAGTGAGCTTGGACTTCTGCAGCTTGCTGACTGTGGGCAATTTTCTGGGTCGTGATTGTTCCCAGGGGACACAGGGTAGGGCTGTGCAGAGAGTAACCTGGCTGCAGGGGACTGGCTTGGAGGAGGAGCTGGAGGAAAGGGGCCCTCAGGCTCCCGCTGAGTCACTGGGGTTAGGATGGAGGGAATACCAGTGTTTCCGATTTGTTTGGGATGCAGTGTCCTGTGTCTGCAGTGTGTTACCCCCAGTTGAGGACACTCTGGTGAGTGATTGTCCTGGGAGTGTTGGCATCAGCAGGGGCTGTAGTACTGGCTTGGGGCAGGCCATGAGGGCTTGCCAGACTCTCAGGAAGGTACAGGAAGTGCCAGGCTTAATGTGATAGAGTATTACTCAGG